AACAAATGTTCCTACCTTCATTAAAGAAAATGAAAAGGATGATGTGCATGTTATTCGCATAGATCATGAAGAAGGGATATGGGAGAACTAGTAAGTTTTTTTTATAAGTTAATTCGACATTACTTTCATTTCTTATTGTTTTTATTTTGTGCTTAATTTGATGTCTAATTGTTTTTATTTTATGCTTAATTTGATTTCTAATTATTTTTATTTTGTGTAAACAGATACATGGTTGATTCAACCGGCAACCTTTCTTCATCTAGTAACACTAATAAAAGGAGAGTTAGAGGTCCCACTATAATGACACAAATTAACAAAGTTCATCAAACGGGTGAAAAGATAAAGGTCGAGTTTGATCCAAGAACCTATGAATGTACTGGTGTTGGTAAAATTGTTTCAACTTTTAGGAGTTATGTAACCTCTCTTGCTCGGGAGATATGTAATATTTTGATAGATGAGTGAAAAGACATATGTAAAGACATAAAAGATGTTATTTGGGTTGATGTTAAGGTATTTTAAATTCAACACTTAATTATATTTTATAATCATATACTAACAACATATGCCATATACTAACAACAAATTCTTTATTTATATTTGTAAGCTCATTTCACTATTCCCGAATGTGATGATCCAAGGATCCGTTAAAACCCCCCACAAAATATTAATAATGTGTAAAAAAAAATATGAAACACTTCCGTGAATGAATAATTTATAGATCAAACAAATTTCTACAACAATCTTTACAATAACATGGGCCAAAAGTGATGACTACTACTCCATCATCAATCATTACAATAACACCTACAATGTAGCCATTTCCTACACTGCACTCACTCGACAGAAGCCTACTTCATAAGCTTCATGGAGCCTTGTTTGCTCCATTACATTTGCAGATCCATCCAAAAACAAGAACCTGAATGAACACACAAATGTGAATAAGATGAATGTCATTGTAGTTTTTTCTTACATTAGTACATATGTTATATGATTCAACCAGGGACGGATCCAAGGCATTGTGATTGGGGGCAGTTGCCCCCACTAGTTTTTAACTTTGGTATAAATTACTATATGACATGGTAGCTTATGTGCTAATTAAAATAGTGTTCTGCCCCCACTAAATAAATACACATATCATAAAATGAGAGGAGTTTCTTCCCCTCTTCATGTTGTTATTTAAATTTTTATTTGACATTTGTTACTTATATTAAACAAATAATAGTATATTGGGTGTATTTTAATTTAAATAAAAATTAAATATATTTGATTAAATAAATTTTGATTTTGTTGTACCTTTAAGTTTAAAAACATTTATTTTAGATATGACTATTATTAAATTATATTTTATTTATAGGATAATTTAATATAGTTTTTTATATTTTAATATAAGTTTGTAGTATTAATAACAGATTAGCCATATAATTTTTGAATCTCATAATAACATTTGTAAAATGTACATTAATAACATAACTTTTATTAGTATCTCTTATATCGGTCAAATAATAATGTTGTCATTTCAATATTTGAATGGTTAAGATTTTAATTGCGTTTTTTTAAATATTTATCGTATCATTATAATAGAATAATATTGCCCCGACTAGCAAAATTTTCTAGATCCGTCCCTGGATTCAACTAATCAATTGAACCAATCACCTATACATTTGACAAACAATACCATTAATAACTGCATTTTCTGCATTAATACCATTAAACACTGCATTTTCTGCATTAATACGATTAAACATAATACCGTTAATAACAATAATTGAAAATTGTGTATCAGAAAGAAAATCAATGTATGGAAAACAACCAAAAAATAGAATAAATGAGGGTTAATATCCACTCCCTCCATTTTCTCCATTACTATAGTTTTATGTATATAAAATCAACTAAATATTAATTATATGTCACATGTCATAGATATGTGTGTTATTTACACACAAAACTATAGTAATGGAAAAAATGGAGGGACAAAGAAATTGAGTGGATATTAACCCAATAAATGGTGCAAGAAACTGAATAAAATAATTAATTAAATATAGAACAATAATTTATAATAGATAGAAGAAATCACTGAGAGCAAGTGGTCATGGGAGGAAATCTCATGTCTTATTCTGAGTCAATGTTACCTAGTCATTACATGACTCTCTTTCGTTAAGTCTCCTTAAGATGCTACCTTTTTTGGTTCTTCTCTCGACCCCTAATTTGGCATGAGAGTGGAATGAGAGAAACGGAAAATAGAAGTTTGCGGTTTGAAATTGAGGCTTAAAGACGGAGATTCTCAGCCATAAATGAGGCTTGCCACTGGAGGTTTCTTGTTAGAGGTCCCATATATGCATATAAACAGGTCTGAAACAGGTGGAATTGATGATACCTGAAGCCATCGCCCATGCATTTAAAAAGATTTCACATGAATGAAATTGATGCTACAAGAAGCAGGAATAACAAAACTAAATGCATCAAGTTGAAAACTATTTTGCAGATTATTTTGTTGGTTGATATTTGATTTTGGTTGATATTTAGAGAATGAGAAAAAAGTGTTGGTTGGTATTTGTTTTTGGTTGATATTCAGAGAATGAGAAAGAAGGTGGCAGCAAGGGCTTTGAAAAGGGAGGACAGAAAGAGAGGAATGATATAAAAAATAATAGTAAAAAAACGCTACATAGATAAAAAAAATCTAACTAGATTGTCATATAGGGTTAACTTTTTTTTAATTTAACAGAAATGACCAATTAGGTTAAAGTAATCGTTTTTAAAGGATCAACATGTAATTTTTTTTAATTAAAGAACTAAAATAAAATATTAAATCAAGTTAATGAACTAATAGATGAATTAAACCTTAAAAAAAAGTTGTGCTATTGTGAGAAAGTATGAATAAAATTTATAAATCGTGATTACTTACTTAATAAGTGACAACCACGACAGGTGACAATAAAATTTCCCTACAAAATAATCATTTAAAATACGAATAAAAAAGGATAGATTAGGTTTAGTGGATTACACTCGTCTTTGATTATCATTGTAGAAGAAAGATACACATTTTAATAATAAGCTTAAATGCACTTTTGCTCTCCTTAGTTTAAAGTTTTTTAAATTTTAGTCTCTAATTTTAAAAATCAGCTTTTTGGTTCATGAACGTTACTTTCTTTGATATTTTCATGGTCTCCCTCCACTTTTACATACTTGGCATGCTCATTAATGATGTGGCAACATCTCTTTGATATTTTCATGGTCTCCCTCCACTTTTACTTGGCATGTTCATTAATGATGTGGCAACATCACGGTAGATCCATGTCACATTTGTTGAATATTTAATAACATCTATTTATATTTTATTTTACAAAAGATCTTTAATTTATGTAAAATATTTAAATTAACTTTTAAACAATATAAAATGTAATGGAAGAAAAATTCTCAAGGTTCACAACAATCTTGAAATATGAAGCCATTAGCCAACAATCTTAACTAAAACTGAAGTGAAATTCTAATATTCACAAAAATCTTGAAATATTGACTTGGTTTTATACAAAGAAAAAAATACAGTAACATTTCACACATCACCTCCATCGCCAATCTCCTTCAAGCTCTTGACATTCTAGAATTTTAGAAAGTGGGTGGTGGTTTTCTAGAAAGCTTCGTCCATGATTTTTCAGTGGTATGGTTGCTTGAAACGGAAACGGGTGGTGGTTTTCCAAAAAGCTTCGACCATGATTTTGTAGCGGCGACCAATGACTTTGGGTGCGACTCAGGTGGAAGCGTGGATGGTTTTGTAACGGTAATGGAACGGTGGTACAAAGTGGTTTGAAGAAGGAGAAGAAGATAAATGTCGTGGATCTGGAAGTAATAATCTCTTCTTTGCGGATCTAGAAATAATAATCTCTTCTTCACGGATCTGAAACAAACTGTGTTTGCTTTCGTACGTGCTTTTTGCTGCATTGGTTTGATAATGACAATATCAGTCAAGTAGGTAATTAGAAATAATAATCTTAATTTTAATAAAATTCATAATGGTCTCTTATCTCTTTAAAACATTTTAGATTAGTCATTTTTAATTCATTATCGACGAAAAAATTCAAAAATTAATCATTAATTAGATAAAAAAAAAAAGACTAATATAGATTTTTTAAAATTAAGGAATTAAAATGAATCTCAAGATTAAGATACGGGACAAAAAAATATTAAACCTTCGTTATATATGATTTCTTCAAAATACAATTAAAAAATTAAATTTTAATTAAAATTGTTTTGAAAATAAAAAATTTATAATTTTAATAAAAAATAAATTATTATCTGACTTGGATTTATTGTAGCAAGACCATGTCATTAATGAGCATCCCAAAGGTGTAAAAGTAAAAAAAAATAATAATAATAAAGTCCAGGGATTAAAAATCTAATTTTTAAAATGAAAGATTAAAATTTAAAAAAAAAACTTTAAACTAAAAAGAATAAAAATATATTTAAATCTTAATAATATTATGAATGAAAATAATATGCAAATTGTCCTTGCATGATTCAACTCTTTCTAGGTATTCATTTTGGAGAAGTATATAATAGCTGATCAATCTCCTCTAATGCAAGGCAGACTAGGTAGAGACATGAGAATGTCACAAACATTATTTAATTTTTGCTAAAATATTTTTTGAGATCTTAATAGAAAAAGGATCACGTGGATTCAGACATTTTCAATTATTGATTGTTTAATTATCCATGGCGCGACGATGGGATATGGAACATGATCATTATTCAAAGAGTTTCTTCACAGTTAAGGTTATTTTTCTCTTTCTTCGTATAGTGAATTTGACACATGATGGCAAAATTACTTACAAATAAATTTATAATTAAATAAATCAGTGTAAGATAAAATAAAATAGTTAAATCAATATAAGTTTTTATTTATTAAAGCAGTGTTAGATGGAAAAATAGCGTAAAAATGGAGTACTAGTGAACACATTGTGACTCACTGCTAAACCCTAAACCCTGCAACAGTTTGAACGAAGAAGATGGGAAAAATTCCTCCTGCATTTCGTTCCGCACTCTCTAACCCTAACCTAATCAAGCCATCTTCTTCCAAACCCCGTCATTTCCCCAACAAAACACCTTCCAATTTCCCCGCTAAATCCCGAAAATCCCAACCACAACAACCCCAACCTACGAAACCCTTGTCCCCATTCAAATCCCCAAATCTCCAAGACGCTAAAACCCTTTTCAATTCCATCGTTGACACCTCTAATGCCCCCAATGATTTCCGCTTCCATAATTCCCTTCTTCAATCCTACGCTTCTATTTCCACCATCAACGATTCCATCGCTTTTCTCCGTCACATGACCAAAACTCACCCTTCTTTCTCCCCTGAGAAATCCACTTACCATATCTTGCTTACCCAATCCTGCAAATCCGCTGATTCCACTCTTTCCCCAATTCATCAAACCCTAAATTTGATGGTTTCTGATGGTGTAAGTCCTGATAAAGGTACTGTTGATTTAGCTGTTCGGTCGCTTTGTTCGGCTGGTCGTGTAGATGACGCGGTTGAGTTGATCAAAGAGTTGTCTTTGAAGCATTGTGTGCCTGACATTTACACTTTCAATCTCCTTGTTAAGAATCTATGTAAGTGCCGCACATTGAGCTCTGTCTATAGTTTTATTGAAGAAATGCGTAGCAAATTTGATGTGAAGCCTGATCTTGTTACTTATACAATTCTGATTGATAATGTATGTAACACTAAGAATTTGCGCGAGGCTATGAGGTTGGTCAAGGTTCTCCACGAGGAAGGTTTTAAACCAGATTGTTTTGTTTATAATACAATTATGAAAGGTTATTGTATGCTCAGTAGAGGGAGTGAGGCAATTGAGGTTTATAATCAAATGAAGGATAATGGGGTGGAGCCTGATCTTGTTACTTATAACACATTGATTTATGGGTTATCGAAATCGGGTCGGGTTTTGGGAGCTAAGAAGTTGTTGCGTGTTATGGCGGAAAAGGGTCATTTCCCTGATGAGGTGACTTATACGTCTCTGATGAATGGGATGTGCAGGAAAGGTGAGTCCTTGGCTGCATTGGCATTGTTGGGAGAGATGGAAATGAAGGGCTGCAGTCCGAATTCGTGCACGTATAACACGTTGTTACATGGGTTGTGTAAGTCTAGGCTGTTTGATAAGGCCATGGAGTTGTATGAAATGATGAAATCAGATGGTCTGAAGCTTGATATGGCTTCTTATGCTACATTTGTCAGGTCATTATGTAGAGTTGGTAGAATTGCAGATGCTTTTGAAGTATTTGATTATGCAGTCGAAAGCAAGAGTTTGACAGACGTTGCCGCATACACGACATTGGAGAGCACACTTAAATGGTTCAAGAAAGCAAAAGAAGAAGGCCTTAAAGTTTAATCGGTAGGCATAGTTTCTATTTTGCTCAAGGGTTTTGTCATATTTGTATGCTCTTAGGTTTTGTTGTATAGTTGCTACTTTACAGTTTTGGGCACCATTGACACAGATTATTATTATATCCTCAAATTTGCGACTAACCTTGACGAGCAATAATAGATTGTACTTTTAAGTTGGGTCTTGTGAAATTTGTTATTTAAGAACAACTTTTATATCCTAAGTTCATTTGGAATACTTGTCTAGATCTTTAGGATTGCTGGATCAGTTGGGTTTAACAGAGTTTGTCTTGTCTTTGTTAATCATAAAGTTAAATTCACATTAATGGTGCAGGTGGTTTGTGTCAAATGCTGTCAAGGATGTAAAAGTTAGTTTCAAAGGTTACAAGCCTAACTCAACAAAGTGCACTGTGAAGCCGCTAATACTATTTTTGTAGGTACTTGATTACCAGTATACTTCTCCAAATGATTCTGTAATATTTTGTTCTAGTGAGCCTCCATAAGTAGCATTTTTGTTTTATCAATATTCATTTTAATGTCATAACTCATAAGCCATGGCTGCCTTTGTATGGGGTGTGCATATAGATATGAAATTATGAATACTTTTTCCAATCTAGCAAAAAGATCGAGATATGAGGAAATGAAATAAGGATGCTGGCTCCTTGTTCTTGTGTTTTTTTCTCTTTCTTTCTTTTTGTGTTTGTGCATTTTCCATTGTTTATGCTAAGTAATTCTAACCAATAATACTAGTATAGTAGTTATCTCTTTTGATGTAAAGTACTATTTTTTCCATTGAAATTTTATCATTCTGCTTATTTGGCTTTTCTCTTGCTTTTAATTTCCTTCTGCATGGGTTGGAGGTTCAATTTTCTTACTTTGTATTTTCGTCCATTGGGATTGGACATTTTCAGTTATTTAAAAATATTATTGAATATAAATAGAAATTAAAACCATTTGTTGTATAGTTTTTTGTTTTGTTTGGATGGAACCATTTGTTGTATAGTTGCTACCTTACAAGTACCCCGCGTTTTAAGTTATTTAAAAATATTATTGAATATAGATAGAAATTCAAAAAATATTTGGCAAGATAAGAAAACATAAATGATTTGTGTTGTTTTTCTAATATGAAAAATGATAATGATTTGTGTTGTTTTTCTAATATGAATATTTTCCACAAGAGTAAAAATTCTTGTAAAGAACATTGTAAATGAAAGAAATAATATGTAAAGCTTATAATTTAAATTAGACAAACTTTAATATGTATTTGCAAATGTATTTATTTTTAATGCAAATAGGATATAATATATAAATGAGAAAACAACGACTTTGAGACACTACGAACTACAATTGATCACTCAACTGGGTATAAGTAACCCAACTAGGACCCTACAAGAGAAAATAAAAGCCTAACCTTAAAAGCAAAATAATCATACAAGGGAAAATAAAAGTCCACCTAAAAGTAAAATAACCATACAAGAGAAAATAAAAGTCTAACCTTTAAAGCAAAATAACCATTCAATTGGGTACAAGAAATAACTAAACGAGGGACCCTACAAGAGAAAATAAAAGCGATAAAGACATAAGAACAACAATCAATCTACATCACATATAGTCAACGAAAAGAGAGAAGAAAAATATAAACAGGAGCCTTTAGGTAAGATAAGCTAAAGACATAACAACCAATCTACACAACATATAGCCAATGAAAAGAGAGAAGAAAAATATAAACAATCACATATAGTCAACGGGTAAGATAAGCCAAAGACATAACAACAATCTACACAACATATAGCCAATGAAAAGAGAGAAGAAAAATATCTACACAACATATAGCCAATGAAAAGAGAGAAGAAAAATATAAACAAGAAAAATATAAACAATCACATATAGTCAACGAAAAGAGAGAAGAAAAATATAAACAGGAGCCTTTAGATAAGATAAGCTAAAGACATAACAACCAATCTACACAACATATAGCCAATGAAAAGAGAGAAGAAAAATATAAACAGAAGCCTTTAGATAAGATAAGCTAAAGACATAAGAACAACAACCAATTTATACAACATATAGCCAGAGAAGGAAAATATAAACAAGAGTTTTTAGGTAAGATAAGTTAGATCTCGGCCGAGTGAAACCACCAACAACAGAAAAAAGAACCTCCAAAGGTACCAGTTTACCACAATGCGAAAGTCACACCCTTTTTTATCAATTCAGACAAAAAAAATAGGATTCTCAAGTCAAGTAGAGAAAACACAAGAGTTTTTCGCATGCCTTCTAAGATAGCCCTTTCAAGTTAGGAATATATTCTTATCTTCCACATTCTTCATCGTGGTAGAAGAGCCTGAAAAGATAATATTGTTATAGGATTTTCAAATCGACCAAACTACTGAGTGTCAAATCATAACCAAATCACCATTTATCTTAGACCTACCACCCAACGATCTAAGAGCTAAGAAAATAGAACTAAGATCCCTAGGAAGAACAAAATACCAACTCATTCACATGAATATCTCATACCAAACAGGCGTTACTAAATCAAAAACACAAATAAATGGTTAAGCGATTCTGACTACCTCCCCCCCCCCCCCCCCCCCCCAAGGGTCCACTAGCACCTTATGCCTAAACAAATTAACTCTAGTAGGAACTTTCTCTTGAAAAATATGATAGGAGAAGACAAGTACTTTAGAGAGAACCCAATTTTCCCAAACAATAGGAATAACCAAGTTCTCATGATCGGTCGGGGAAGTACTAAACATGACACTTTCAAGGAGATCAAAATAAGTAAAGGCAACTGAAAAAATACCATCCTCGAAGTGGCACCAGTACCACATATCAGGATATAAGAAAAATGTCACATCTTGAATGACTAAAAGTAATTTATAGACCATCTCCTCCTTATAGAAAAAGAGAGATTTTTTCCACTTTAGATCTTAAGTTAAGATGTCGTACACAACATCTCAGTATGATCTACGGCTTAATCCAACTAGTTAGATATACTGAAGTACTTAGGAAACCTAATAATTAAGAGGGAGAGCTCAACCTAAAGATTCTTCCAAAAGGAGGTTTGAAGGTCTATTCCCATTTTCTTACCAAAACTAATTAGAAGAATCCTCAACTTTCAATCCCAAAAAGAGACACCCCTTTCTTCCCAAAAGAGGCAAAGCGAAATATAAAAGGTCTGCCTCTTAAAGACGGGGAGAACAATTGGGTTTCATATTTGGTAGATAAGATATCACACCAAAGATCTAAAGCATCCGAAATGAGTCTACATCGTCACTGTTGGGGTGCAAATGTGAGTGGTTAAAGTCTCACATTACTTATGAATGAGTGAAATGTTGAATTTATAAGAGAGATTACATATTTACCTAATACCTTAAAATTCTGGATTGAGATGTAGCGACTCCCTCTTTTGTGGTCAACATTGGTCTCGTGTGTACTTATAACATCTCCGAACTCCCCTGACTAAAAATGTCAAATTAACCCTACAGAGATTGCAAATTCTCAAACTCTAGTCGAATGAGAGTTTTGTTCAATATATATTGCTATTCTTTTTAGTTTTTGTAAAATTGATTTGCTGAAATCGATCTCATAATAAATAAAATATTTATATTATAAATTAATTTTAAAGAATAAAGAAGTTAGGATAAAAACAAAATTACAAATACGACTATAATAAAAAAAAAAGTTACAAAATCTAAAATAGAAAAATTGTATATGTAATTACACACTTGGAAGACTAGGGTTAATAATGGAACACATTTGATTGCAGTCCTCCCTGAGATGGCTTCTTCCCATTGCAGTCGACGTCTTTTCTCCATCTCTTCCTTCAAATCAGCTCTCAGACCCACCACTAACCATTCCCCTCTTCTCAACGCTTCTCCTTCTATTAAACCTCACCGTCAATTCTCTCCCTTTATCAGGTAACATCTTAAAATTTTTTTTTTTTTTTACTTTTTCACTTTTCATTCATACCCACATACATTATTCTATCCAAAATCCCCAATTCCATTATTGCAATTACAAATTTTACTTTTTGTTTTAAACTAATGTATAAGGTAGTTACAATATTTTGTCAAAAAAATGTGTAATTACTTTTAGTTGTTTCTCAATTACATAACCCTACATGTTTTGGGGATTTGCCCCAATTTTTTTTCTTTCTGATGTGATATATGAATTGATGCATTTAACAGAAATTGTGTATACCAGCTTGGGAGTGTGCAATCGCTATTGCCTCTACATAATACAGTAGCAACTTGTAGAATGGTATCAAATCTTAGCATTGATTCAAGGAATTGTCATGATGTTTCACAGGTTACTCTTTCTTGCAACCATCCTGGACCCTAGCCTTTCTTACTACTATCAATTATGAGTTTTTGTTGCTTTCCTTGTAAAATCAGAGGATAATTAGTAATTTTGTTGATGGGGTTTTGAGAAATCATAAAATCAATCCAATAACATGTACATGTGATTGGAAGAGAGTAAACAATTGTGTTGATTTAGAGACGAGTTTTGAAACTTGCGTATTATTATGAGTTTAGCTTCAAATCAGATACTGAAATAGAGTTCAATTATTTCATATTATTGGACACCATATATTTGAATCTTTTTGGCGTCTTCAATATTCAACATGATGCCAATGTTCTTCTTATGCACCTCGACATAGAGGTTTTAGTCTTAGTTTATTCCAAAATGCTGTTTTTGAAAGGGAAACATAAACATATAGGAATTTTCGATGTCAGCTAAATTGGCGTTTGTTCATAGATGCCCCCTTCTAAGCGATAGTTTATTACAGTAATAAAATGAGTATTTAACATGGTTTATCCCACTCGTTTTTGGCATGCATGCCCCAAATTAAGAGATCAACTTTAGAATATCATAGTTAATGACTATTAGCTATTAAATAAAGCAATCAAAACTGGCAAACATTGGTCTTTTAGACCATCAAATATGATCAAGTGGTTGCTGGCTTGCTAGTTGCCACTCTGTCGTTCCGAGTGATGTCATATATCAGTGCCATGGTGAACTGTAGTGACGGATTTTTTGACAATCTTCATGGCCAATTTGTGAAAGATTGCATTTTGTGGCTTAAACTTATAGTATGTGTCAAGTATTCTGTTCACTAAATATCGACACATGATAAATCAATCATTCAAGTTGTGGTAATGATCACTGATATGGCTGTTTTGGCATTATGGTTGAATGATTTTATCATGTTTAAAATGAGAGTAATTGTATTATAAGAACAAAGAACCAAGAAACAGCAAGTGATAACAACATCTGCTTTAGAACATGTAGAAAGCGCTGCTCTGATGACTTAGAATCAAACGTTATCTGCACTATTTCTCCACTTTCTGTCTTTATTTATGACTTTTCAAACATGAATTCAAATTAAATGTGTTCCAAATTGTTTGGATGTAATAGATAACTGCAAAACCTAGATTAAGTGTTTAAAGATGGTTTCCCATTACATGCTTCTGAAATTTGCGTGTGAAGAAATTGATAAAAAGAAAAGTATTAATTTAGAGTTAAATTAATAGTTAAATTCTTCCGTTATTAGTAGTATTAATTTAGAGTTAAACTCTTCCGTTTACAACTCCTCACTTAATTCATACCCAATACAATTCTATATAGAAATCACCATCCAGATAAGAGAACCTCATCTCAATTCCTAAATCACTGCAGTGATATCTAACAGTCACAACCTCTGGTGACTGTATCAAATTGTTCAATTGAAAGACATCTCTTCCAATAGAACATTCATTCAAGACTTTTGACTAAGAATAATACTTGAATTTGCATAATAGTTTCATCCAAGAACAATATATAATTCATTATCTACAGGCTTCTGAATATGTAAAACTATGTCTACCACAATGTATCAACTGATACAAAGGGTGACTTACAACACAAGAAAGTAAACGACTCTCAAAATTCTAAACACTTATAATTACTTTACACGAATTTGTTACAAGGTCTACTCTGTTTTTTTTATGCCCTAGGTCTTGGTCTTCCTTTTATAGTTTTTAGCAGTCCATTGGCTTTGAAGTCTCTGTCCAATCTTTCCTTGATCCACGTTTTGATTGCACTTTAAAATTTGGAACAGATCTACAACAAATCTGTTGCATCAGACCAAGATGTCGAGTTAACATTGTTAGGAAATCTTATCTGACATGTTCTTTACATATTTCTTTTTATTGGAACATCTTGTGCAACATCATATTTTACCAAAATTTTAGTCAAATTTTTAGAGCCTTCACAATTAATTAATCTTTCATTTGTGTGTTCTTTCTTCGACATCAACTTCTAGGATAATTTTTAAACAAAAAAAGATAATAATAAGGGATTTTTTTATCTCATCCTATGGGGTGGGAAAATACTTTATAAAAATTTCAAAATGCTTTTCAGATGTTGGAGATGCGTTTTCGAACGCACTTTGTCAAGTCAAAACTGATCCGGGAATGCATCTTTGAGATATTTAAACACATACCTCATGCATTCCTCTTTGAAAGGTTTATTTTACACGTTTATTGTTTCGGAGATGCATATTCGTTTAAGGTTTATGGAGATGCATCTTTGTACCCTATCAAAATAGTACAATTTTATGTTTGGTTTATGGTTATTCATATGAAAATGACGATTTGTAAATGTTATGGACTCTGTTGTGTGATGAACATTAAACTGACATATATAAATTCAGATGATCAAAAAATGACATATATAAATGAAGTCGAAATACACAATAAATTAGAATGAAGTCAAAATAAAATACAACTGATAATAAATGCAGAGTACAAATAATATGTACTACAATTATAACGTATTCCGGAGTACAACTCATTAGGCTCCTCGACCTCCTTTACCCTACGTCCTCCGACGTTGTCTTTGGTACATTAATGTCTCTCTTGCCTCAGACATAATGGCATCTAAGACACGTCTTACCTTATATCCACCAGGGAAGATACCTCTGTCAATGTCTGTCTTTGCAAGTTTCATAATTCGACGACATCTGTGTAAGACATCATAAGTATGACCTAACTGTGTCTGCTCCTCCTCTAGTATCTGCTGGTTAGTTGGTCTATGTGGATCTATTGAAGCAACTTGCACCATGTATGAATGTGACACTTTGAACATTTGATGTACATGTCGGCATAGCTTCAGTCGCTCTCTACTATTATACTATATGTCTCCTTCGATACCAAATGACTAAGATAATCATCAAACATGACATGCATATCTCTATGTGTCATAGCAGGAGGAGCAGAGACAACATGATGTTTGGGAATAGTCTGAGTGTTGTTGAACTGCCGCATGACGCGCTCAAGCAGACGAGGAAGTGTCAAACGTAAACTGCAAGGCAACCATCTCGAGTATAACACTATGTCGTCAAATGGTTGCGTCTCACAATGATCGACATTGTTGTTAAAGTGCATAACATTAATGTCGTACCTCAAAAAATGAGCACGACCTCGCAAAGCGCAATCACACGCTCGCATGATAGACTTAACAAGTCACCACCGATCTTTATTTATTCTCATATAGGAAAAGGGAAAATATCAAATAAAATCCCTAAAAAAGACAAGGATGTGATCATCGCAACCAATATCTAAGTTCGAGAAACGGTTACGCAAAGGAAATGTATTAACACCCCACACGTTCGTTGTACTCAACAGGAACCATTTAGTTAGGGTCAAAAGAATGTTAACTTATGTTAATTTCTAATTTTCTACTTATTTGGGATAGAAAAGAGAAAGAAGAGAAATGTTTTTTTTAACTTTTTTATTAAAGAGAAAGATTTAGCAATCTTGCTCCTATGTATCTCAAAAGAGTAGTCAAGGCACACGTAGTTCTGGATAGAAAATATTTGTTTGTGGTTCGATTTTTGCAAAAACTATCTTATATTAATCGACGAAAAACATTATTTTATTCAAAACAGGTGAGGAGCGAACGTTTACACCACATTGAATGGATTTACAAATCACATTCATGCCACTTATCTCAACTCAATGATTGTGGATGATGCATTATTCTTGCATCATCTTAAGACAAGATGTCTTTTGTTTATGAAAAGATTTTTTTAGGATTGCACAGCGACAAGAAAAATAGTTTGATTAGTTGAATGTATTTTAGGTGAATGACGAACGTTTGATGAGAATCAATTGTTCAAAGAGTTATGTCAGAATGCTAGATCCCAACAACCCTTTTCCATTCAAGATTAATTGAGAAAATTGTTTGATGGACAATGAACGCTTGATAATAATCAATTATTCGAAGAGTTACGCCAGAACGCTAGATCCTAACGGCCCTTATTTGTCCAAGTTAAAAAGAAAAGAAAAGAATGAACGACTATCCCAATGCACAAGGCTCGGGACCAATCATTCAAGGGCTCTGCTAGTATGCTAGATTCCAACAGTCCTCTTCTTTCGTGTTTGTATAAAAAAAGGATAATGTTGTGTTTGATTTGATTTAGAAAATTATTTGAAAGTAATAAAGCTTTGAAGAGATTAGTTTGATCTTTAAGTGTTTGAAATCTATCCTAAAAGGTTGATCTTATTATGCATCATCTTTATCATTTTTATTTATCAATTAAAAGTCTACACACAAGAGTAATACAATCAAACATGTCATACGATGATCCATAATTAATAAGGCATGCAAGCAATTGTACTTTTAAACAATGATCACATAAATCAAACTAAACACGACTCAAGATTAATATTAAGCAATAAGTCTTACAAAAATCAATGGGTTTTGGAAAATGTAATTAAACGAGTCAACCCTAATTTATACAATCTAAAAAAATAAACTATTTTTATATTTTGATTATTTTGGTTTTAATAGAGTAAAATAAGTAAATCAAACAAATGAAATACTATTATTTTCTTTAAAAAAAACTATTAAAATTATTTGAAAATTTTTTTTTAAAAAAACAAGGGTTCTTTCTCCTTTTTTTTTTATGACAAATTAACAAAATAAAAGAAAGAATAAATAAAAATAATAATGGGTCAGGGGGATGACAAACTAGTGGCAGGTTATGAAGCCCAAAAAGTAAGGTCCAGCTCCACAGGCCTGTGTCATTTAAACTCGGTTTTCTCCACACTAAAAGAGTGGTACGACTGGGTCTTTGAACCCTTTATCCATTACCTTCCTCTTCTTCTCCTCTAACTGTACTCTCTCTCTCACACACACACACACACACAATGTGTGAAACACAACAACCAAACTTATTTAATTTATTTTCCTATTTCAAACAAAACAAGCAACACACAAAAGTAACACGGGTTGATGCAAATAGAAAAACAAAAAAAACAAAAAGAAGTTACCAGTAGGGAACGGTTCTGATGTGG